AAGAGTCCTCAAGTGCACCTTCACCCAGACTTATTCTAGCTTTGCCTATTTTCACGTTTCCATCCTCCTAGATACTTCAATTAAACAGTCTCTCACCATTTGTGTTGAGAGCTAAGCTGATGTTCTCCCAGGCAAGATTAAATGGCAGTTGTCGGTTCTTATTTCAGGTTGTTAGACCAGAAGGTAAGAGACCATCAAAGCAACTGAACCTAGATTGTAGCATATATTAGCTTAGGCACAGTCATCTGACAAGATGTGAACATTTCCAGGTACAGCGTTGGGAATATATCATCATAAATTTGTGTTGGGCAAAGCTGGATGTGGGCTCAGCACATCCAGCTAAAGGTCCCCCCTAATGTCCCATCAAACTGGCCTGGGCATGACCCATTTCACCACCTTGCTCACGGGAAGCTGATTCACTACCAGCAGCAGTGCAGCGCTCCTGGTGTTTCACGCAGTAGATGGGAGGCAAATGTGATACCCGGCAGTCCTGGTTTTAAAGGTATTTACTTGATGGGCAGGATGAGTTCACTTGCAGTTTGTGGATATGTTCTAAAGGCTTATTCTTCAGATTAAAATGCCCATAGGTTTCAGTATCCTAAGATATTTTGTGATTTATTTTTTCTTGAAGCTTTCAGTCTACCTCCTACCAAAGAAATCCTGAACTTCTTCTTTTGTCTACAGCTGGAGCAAGATCCATGTTTTGCTGGCCTACATCGTTCCCCTTAAACTCCCATCTGTGAATCAAGGAAAGGAAAGACCAGCAGCTGTAAGTACATTTCTTAGGCCTCACTGCAGAGACATAACAAGTTTTAAACGTACTATTTCTGGTGATAACGGAAAGACTGTAGAAAGAGCTGAAGAACTTCTGGTCGCTCTTCTTTAACCTTTGCTCAACAGCTCAAAACTAGCAAAGCTGAAAAAATGCCGTTCCCTGCAGCTGGCACAGCAAGAAGTAACACCGGTACTGTTTATGCGAAACATGCCCGTTTGTGTTCTCGCAGACCCTAAGGGAACGCATTCATCACAAACTATTACAGACAGGGAAAGATCTAAACACACTCACCAGGTTTTCGCTGACATTGTCACTGTGAAACTGTAAGATTTACTAAGGCTGTTTCTAGTTTTTCGAAGTCATAGTGAAATGTTTTGCTTTCCAGAGCATTTAGTATGATAGTTTTCTCGTTCTTGCTTTGTGCTTTTGGGAGTATTTCCATAATATATAATAAAGTAAGCTTGACATAAAGAGGTGTCATTTACAACCCAAATGCATGTGCATAACCATTTTCTTTTGAAAACTGTATGTAAACTGCAGAGCAGTGATCGCTTTAGATATTCTACTGCTGACATTAAGTCATCTGTGAGCGACTCAGCCCTAGTAATATTTCACTATATAATTATTGTGTGTGTGTCATCCCACTTTGGCAGCTATGAAGTAAAGGGTTTGTTGTCTAGCAAGTTTCTCTCTGCTCCCTAATTTCAGATGTAGCAAACCCTGTAAGGCTGCAGTACTCCAGCACTGTACTTGCTGTGCTTTCCAACAGCCGAGCAAACCGGATGACTGAAGAAGGGCGGGTTTGCGTTTTTAGGATAGTTTTGAGCTTGAATAGGGTTTTACTCCTTTGGCAGATTAGCTTCTTTGGATGTTGCTGCAGTGTCAGCGGGCTCCTGCTTTGAACTTTTCATACGATTCTGAGGTGCCTTGTCTTTACCGAAATGCGTTTCGTAAGCAGGGTAAGTTCTCCGGGAGCTTCTGTGGGTGTTCGGTGTAGGTGTGATGCTTTTGTAGAGAGTGAAATCTTCAAGGGAAAGACTAAATTGATCTTCCAACTGGAGAATGCTTTCCTGCTGTGCTTGTTTCTGTTTCTCTAACTCATAAATCTGTCTTTCTCCTGAGCCATGCCATGCCGACTCCTTGGGCTTTCAGAAGTGAAGCTAGACAGACCTAATTTCATTTGTGTTTGTCAGTCTGATGCACTGTTATGCTTCCTAGTTTCTGTGCCAGGGGGATCCAAAATACACTATCATACAAGCTAAACTTAAATAATGCATTCATCTTCCACTAAAAGTTTCAGTTACTCTAGTGACTGTTGAAAATAAAATACCTAGCCTAGTAGAAGAGTTTTTATTTCAACTCAGTAAAATTTCTCCTTTCAATTTAATTCAGAGATGCAGGTAAATAATCTTGAAGTATTTTCCTCAGGGGAAAAAAACATTGCTTTTTGCAGAGTCCTTTAAGATTTCTGTTAGGAAAAATCTTTGTAGGAAAGAGCAAATTTCACCAAGAAGAAAATGACTTTTTGATGTCTACTAATGCCCCTCAAAAGTTTAAAAAAATCTTACAGAAAGATGAAATACTTTCTATTAAGTGTAACTTTCACCTACCATAAATAATGCACAAAAGCCAAAATGTAGTTTTCTCATCTTTCCCCTCCGGTAGGGGATTTTTTTTGTAATTTTATGAGCTTGTAAGAATTAGGTTGTAGGTGCTGGGAAGCGTCACGGTCTCTGCTGTGGATGTTCGAAGAAACCTGTCAATGAAACAGCTACTGATGGTCACTTCCATCCCCCTGCCCCTAAGGAAGAAGAGAAGCTTTTGACCCATGGTATCCCAGCGGAGTGTTTCTTTTGATTTGTAGCTTCATCTCTTTATCCACTTTGTTTGTAGTGTTACTGAGCTAGAGAGATAGATATGTATGGTTTTTAATTTTTTTTGTTGCTCTCAGATAAGCACGAGGTGAGTCTGTGACAGTGTGTGAAATGCCGCTCGCTCTGGGAGCGGTGGAGCCCCATTCACCGTTACAGAGAAATGCCCTCAGCCCAGCACACTGGAGGGGAGATACCAAGTCCTCAATGTCCTCAGAATCCCCTTCAAAGTAATTCTTAATACTATAAATCAATGCGGTATTGTTGTCTCGCTGCCCACTTTGAATAAGCCACTTCTCTGGTGGCCTGTAAGTAACAACTAACGAGATACTGGGAGTAGAAAATAGTTACAGCAAAAGAAGACACTCTGAATCAGGTTACATAAGCTCTGCTACTTACGACTTGACATTCTTCAGACTGTTGCACTATTTTTCTCTGTATGTCATAGATTACAGAAAATGCAAGATGATGATGAAAGCCTTAGCTTAGTTTTCATCTAAGCATGCAATTAATTGTGATTAAAAATGAGAAACAGACGCTACTTCAGTACTGTAGCAAAGTACTTTTACTGTTGTGCCCGCAGTTATTTACTTGTGCAGACTGAGATCTCATTTAAAATGTCTTTGTAGCTGAGACTACGCAGTCAAATCTACGAGCTTTCGAAAGCGGTAGTCCATTTATTCAAAAAGTGAATCTTTCCTCTCTTTCCTTCCCAAAATGTTTCCTTAAATCACTGGTGATTCCATAGTCCTTCTTCATCCAAAACAACTTCAAGGCTATCTGACTATTTTCACCTCTCCTAAATGATGTGCCTGATGTACTCCAGCTGTTGTTAAAATCTCTGTGGTGAGAACTGGCTGCAGGTGGGGCTTTGCCTTGTTCCCCCCACAGCTGGTCCATGCAGAAATGTGTTGCCATATTTAAGCAGCTCCAGCATTGCTCGCAAAGGAGAGGCTCTTCCCTGTGTCCATTGTGTGCTTTAGAGATTTTTTAATTGGCCTTTATTTTGCCAGCTCTCTCCAATGTCTCCACTTTCACACACCTGCCAGCTGTGCTGCTCCCAACTTGGTGACTCCTTTTGCTGACACACGTTTTGACCTGTTCATCTGTTTCCAACTATTCCTTTAAAGTCACTTCTTTTGTGAAGCTATTTAACGCCTATCTCCATTTAATTTTAGTCTCCGTATTTATGTCAAGTGTTACATTTGTCTCTTCCTGTGGATGGAAATGTCTTTGCTCATAAACTGCTGTATATTCTTAAAGTATTTGGTAAGAAGTAAATAGCAGAATTATTTATGAACTAAGCAAGGCAACAGTCATTTGTTTTAGCTGTGTTAAGACTAAATGTTTATCGGTGTATTCACTGATACAACATGTATCTGAAGACAACACAAATTGCATTTTCAAAGGTGTAGACAACCCCCTTTGTCCCACCTTGAATATGTAATATCCAAGTTGAGTTATTTTGTGCATTTACTGCAGTGAAAGCTACAGTGTACTTGGTAGAAAACACAGTAAGATATTTCCGTGCCTGTTTAAGCCAACCTTTTCAAGGCAAGGAGTATTTTCCAATATTTCAGATTCTTATTTCATTTGGTGGCACAAAGTTACAGCTGCACTTACATGTGTTTGGGCCTTGTAAATTCTCAGTTCCCTGTACTTGGGATTGAAAATCTTCTGTGCTTAAACATTTGCTGTTTATGAATTAATAGTCTCCTCTCTCGCCTAGGTGTGTCTTGTCTTTTCAACCTGCTTTCTCTATCTTGATATTCATTGATAACAAAGAAATTGTAGTGCTGAGGCACGCTGACAAAACTGAGACAGAAGTATAAAGTTTGCATGTACGTTTGTAACGTTAAGGAAAGCAGAGGTAGGAGAGGAACAGTGTGTAGTTAATTTTGTTCAAACTTCCAGGCCAATGATTTTTATCAGTTCTCCTTGGGTATGGAGGGCGCTTGGATTAACTGTAAATATGAACAAACTTCGGGGCTTGTTATAGAAGTCATTGTGCTCTTTTTCTTTCTCTACATACCATGTGCTGTCATTGGGATTGACTAGGCTCTGTTCGCTTTAATTTAGGTGCGTACTTAACTCTATGGTTCTCCTGGATTTATGGTATCGCTTTTAAGAGCACGTTCCTTAGAATGTAATTTAATCAGTCATGAATATAACCCTCCAGCCTTGACACAAAAAAATGGTGTGTATGTGCTTAATAACTGAAAAACTAAAAACTTTGACAGAATACCACGTTTGTGTGCTTACATGTGAAGAGACTGTAAATAGGCAGTTTGGTCACTGTACTTTCTTCAAATGAACAGGAGTTAAGTAACTGTGAATCTATCTACTGCAGAAACATGATTAAAGATAACACCGAAATTATTCCACTAATGGGCAAGAAAACAAATCCATCTGGTACTCCCCCCCAGGAGAGAAAGCCGACTGAAAGCACGCCCACAAAGAAAAGGTAGGACTGTAACGCAGTCAGAACCACTGCAACTCCCTGTTTTATCTCCTTTAGTAGATGTTTGTACTGAAAAATCACTAATGTCTTTATTCACACTGCCTGTATGAATGAGAGAGATCTGATGAGCACAAGGTGCCTTCAAGAACACACATGCTTATGCTGTTTTGAAGTGAAAGAGTATCCTGGCCAGGGAGACATATGATGGGTTTACCCTAAAGTGACAAATATTTAACCCCTCATGCACCAGTGTTTTAAGTTTGTCTCATATCACCTGGGCTTTCTGCATCCACTTGATGGTCAGTGTTTCAATAGGAGAAGGTAGAGTTGGGTTTGGGTGGGGTTTTTTTGGTTTTTTTTTGTTCTTTTTTTAAAGGAATCACTTGGTAGGGTACACTGGGCTTAATGTAAGAGATGCTGGTCTGAAAAAGGGAACATTTAAATTTAGCCTTACATGGTGATGTGACAGATAATGGAGAGGCAGAGGTGAATGAAAAATGAGGGCTGAGAGAGCAAGAGGTGAGAAAAATCTTATCACAAGCAGAAACCTGAATTCGCTCAATTTTTCGTTATTCTGATTAACAAGATTTATTCATTATTTTATAAAATACTTTCATAATTTATCCTAGAGAATTAATTGAGTAAGGGTTTGTATTTAATGTGAATGGAGAAATAAAGCAATAATTCATCCCTGATACTATGCTATTGAAGTCAACTAAGTTACTGTAGAGTGAGGATGAATTTCATTCATAAACTTCGCTCTCTGGCTAATTACTAGCTATTACAGCAATTTTTTTGAAACTCCGAAGGCCTATGCAATTGCGGCTGTTCCGACATTTATCATTCTTAATAATCAGAGCAATCACTTTCCACAGAAATGGTGTCATTAGTTATTTGAGACCCACTGCCTGGGTGGCCCAATTTCTATTTCTGTCATTAGATTCCAGAGGAGAAGCTCTTTGGTTGCCTAAGGGGGAGCTCACAAGACGCCCAGTGCTTCAAAAATGGGCAATTCCATGGAAAAGCGCGTAGTTACAACAAATACTGGCAAGCGCTGCCCCTCGGTTACTTAAGCTCGTATCTCACATTCAATTTTGCGGCATCAGTAACAGTAACCTTGGGGTTTTTGACACCTCTCAACCAAGTGACTGGGGTGTGACCGCCAACATTCCTCTAATGTAAGGAACGAAGATCACGTGAATTTGAACGCGGAGGTTTAACGTGTTCTCTTAATTACGTGTTTCTGTGCTTCTGTTGCTTCAAACTGCTTCCTTCTACTGTGGTACCAAGCACTTAGTGCTCTTCCACGGGTGGCATTTCTCACTTGACAAAATGTACGGGCAATACACACTTTCTCAAAAGACAACTTCCCCTTCTTGAAGGTCCTGGTATTTGTGTGGCCTCGCAGTGTATAATTAAGCACAGGAGAACTGACAGGCAGGCTGGGAGGGGTGCTGCCAGTGTTGTCAGAGCCCCATTATGTTTGTGGGCAGCGTTTCTGACAGTGTGTACCACGGCCACGTAAGCACTTGGGTATTTGTTTGCATGATGACTTTTGTTGTGGTGTGGTGGGGTTTCTGGGGGGGGGTTGGAATTTTTTTATTTGGTTTTTTTTTCCCCCTGTGGTATCCCCAGATAACCCACATGCCATGATAGGTTAGGTACGTCAGCCACCAAAGCAGGGTTCACTTCATAGCTGCTCTGCCTCTACTGGATGCCAAAAACTTCAGCATGATCACACTGTTGGGAGAGCAGGAGCTGCTCTTGGTGACACCAGCCTGCAGCGCACTGTCCCCTCCTGGTGCTGAGCCGAGGGCAGGCGAGATCGTCCAGCAAAGCCTCGAGCTCGGCTCTTCTGCTTCTGTGGAGTTTCCCTGTAGCCTCCAACAGGTGTTTGCCTGTTGGGGCAGCTCCTGCACTTCATAGTCTGGGAATGCAAAAAAGCAGGATGAAACCATGTTTTTTCTACTCCTCCTTAGTCTCTGTGCCAAGCCTAGATCCCAGAGAAACAACAGGGATTTACAGCAGCTGGCGTAAGTGATGGCAGTGGCCCCGTTTCTGCCCAGGCTTTTCTGGTGCTCTGAAAAGCACCTCCTGCCTGGGTTATTTCAGGGCCACTGTCCTGCTAACCAGAAGTGGCATTTTACTTGCTGCCTGTTTAGAATATATTCACCAAGCACATGTCAAATGTAAAAAGGTTGTATATTTAAACAACTACCCTAGTGAATTAACACAAGCCAGTGGAAAAATGAGGTGAGCTATCATCACGTTATTTTTGCAGTTATCAACACGTTGTTCAGTACTGTCCTAATGATACACTGCATTTTAGCACCAGTACTTTAAAGTACGTTCATGTACGTGATTCTTTGGGGAAGATGCAGTTTCTGAACAATAGGTCATGTGGGAGTCGCTGCATTCATCACTGAAACTCCTCTGTCTCTGGTGAAATGTAGCAATGTTTTAATGAGATCGAGTAATATCAAGCCATCGATATTTTACCGCAACTCTGCAGGCTTTTAAAAGGTGAAATCTTCCTACTCTCATGTTCCCTTCCCTGTGTTGTTTCAAATTTAATTTTTTTCCCCTGTAAACAGTTATTTATAGGGAAAAGAAATAGTTAAATGTCATATGTGGACTGGCAAGATTACACATTCAGTCCTGGATGGTGGAAATGTCTGATGTCATTTAACATGTGACCTTTCCAGCTTTCTGACTTAATGATTATCACTGCTGATGGCTTCAGAATGATCCATCTTGATGGCTCCTGGATGGAGAAACAGGGACTGGAATGCAGTAGATTAAAAAGCGTGTGTGTGTGTGTGTGTGCACACATTTGTGGCTGGTCAGTAACTGTCTGGTGTTGCGTTCAGCTCTTTGCACAGACATCAGATGCGAGGGGGATTTTTTACGTTGCTGGGGTAGCTGCTTAGACATGTCAGGATCTGATGCCACATGTCCTAAAAATATCCTGGGATCTTTTGCCCATCTGCCAGCATGAACGTGCTGGGCACAGTGTTGGAGGTTGGGATCCCCCCAGGGGAAAGTAGATAAGACTGTTCCAGCATCCCACTAGGTATAATGCCAGAAAACATAAATTGCTAACCTTGTCCTAGGCTTGTACTTTGCTTATTTTATGATTGAGCTTGCTTTTTTTTACTAATATTTTTTTAAATGCACTGTGTTCAACAGTTCACACTTTTTTCTGGAGATTGATGGGTTTGAAAGCAATGCAACTCCAAATAATACGTCTCCCCCTGTGTTTTCAAAACCAATGGATTCAAACATTCGTCCATGGTAAGTTATAGATGCATATGCAATAGTCGTACAGCAAATATATCTATTTTCTTTTCAGCAGCTTCTTATTCCTCCTTAGACTTCAGAGCTATAATTTCACATGGCCTTTCTTAGATTTTGGTGACTCCAGAGTCAGAACTCTCTTGGAGGTCAGTTGTTGCCAGATGACTTATCTTTGAGTATATTCACTGCTGTCATTTACACTGAATAAATCAGGCCTCAGTTTTGAATAAATTTAACATCACTGCAGGATTTTTTGGTGTGTGTATTTTTATTTTTTTTTAATCTTGTACTCTTCTTTACGATATGTTAGGACAAATTCCGCACACCCATTTGTGTGTTTTCTACAGTGTGAAGAAGGCAGCTCGATTTAGCAAACCCTATTCCCAGCTGTGTGCTGCCATCCTCCCTCTACACGTCATTAACAATCAAAGAACATGAAGATGCTGAGTCTGAAATATTTAAAGGCAGCCATTTATGCTAAATGAATAGAGAAAAATTATGACTGGGGAGAATGATAGTTTTTAAAAATGTGTGGGATACTAACAGCCAATAATTACGAATAAAGGAAATATGCATTAAAAGCAGCATAAGCCCAGAATGGCCAAATGTTTTTGTGACTGGTGGAGCTCTGGTCAGCTTTTTGCAAGGAGCTGACCGTTTCATTTTGGTTTCAGAGGAAGGTATCCAAATCTTTCCCTCTCGCTCAGGGACTGACTTGCACAAGACACGTACTCTTTGTCACCAGATTCCTCACGGTTTTCTGCAGAGAAGTGACGGACTGAATAAGAATGGACTCTGAGCTACCAGCTTTATTTCACAGGGAAGGGAATATCTGCAGAGCAGCGCTGAACCCTTGCGTTGCTGAATCCGTACATTGCTGTCCATACATCTGTTTTGTCAATAACCAATAGTTAAGGCTCCATAAGTTATTACCCTCAGGTAGTTCATTAAATCCGAACTTTATAGAAACCAAAAATACAAGAAAAATTATAGCAAATTAATTTTAAAGTCAGATCTGCTTTTCAGAATGTCTGCAAGTTATGTACAGCCATTACAAAATACCAAAGCCATTGAAATCCTCCGTATTTATTACCTAAATAGGTATTTAGGGTTCAGTCCTCTTTCTTTCAGCTGAAGCTTCCATTCAAGTTAGTTGCAAAATGATCTGGAGTTGCCTGCAGTGTACTGTGTAGTAAATCTTGAGGTGAATCACTTGTGTGCTTGCAAGCCCTGCACTGGTACTGATTTAGCACTTGTTTTGTGGCAGATGACAAATTAATCTTGTGAAAAGGAGGAATGTAAGCTTCAAGCCTTTAAGATGATGCATAAAAAGCAGCGGTCATTAAAAAAATAAATGAAAAAACTTCCCACATTTTCAGGATCTGTAATGAAATAGCATAGTAAACCAGAAAACAGGTTCTTTTGCTAATGATTTTTAAATATAATAAAATCCCGTGAGTCTCTTCAGTCTCATCACTCTCTTTAAAATTCATGGGGGAGATAAAATAATAGAATTAAAAAGCACGATGTCAAATTAATTTCAGCTCTTCTGCAGATAATGCTTCCTAGTATTGCCCGATTCTTCATGCAGTTTGCCAAAATGTCTTCCGATACCTTCCTGACTTAGCGCTTGGGCTTTTCTGTTTTCTGTAGTGCATCTGGAAATGGGGAAGATATGGATTCCCCACAGTCTCTTCAGGACGATGCGACTGAATACAGCCCTAATGTAGAGAGTTGTTGGTGAGTGAAGACGTGAAATATTTCTTAGCGCGTTTTCAATGGATTAAGCCTATGATAGGGTAGATATTACCTGTGTTGCCTGCCATGCTTTAGAAATAAGGTCATATATGTGCAACTAGGCATGAATTTAGGAGTATTTCTGATTGTAGGCGGAAATATTAAATCATTCCCATTCCAGAATAATGTATGATCAGGAAAGTTGTGTAAGAAGGTGCGAGATTAAAAATTATCTTCTGCTGTGGGTGGGATGGGTGCATCTGGAGTGCAGCATCAAGTAACTTCAGGCACTGTAGGCAGCAAGCTGTGGACAGATCAGAGCAGCAGAGCAGTGTTTCTTAGCCTTTGTTTTAAAAGAATGGACAAACTGAAAAAAAAGCAAACCAAAATACTTTAAAAGTGTATAATTTTATTATAAAAACCCTCTCAATAGCTACTTACCTGCAAATAAGTAATGTGCAGCAGCAGTCTGAGATCTGTGCCAAGACGTATGTGGAAGCAGGGCCAGTAAATGTAGTTCTTTTTCCTTCTAGTAGAAAATAAACCACAATAAATTCAATCGCTAAATTCATTCTATTTCTTGTAACTCAGTGCTAACATATCACAAGGACGTGAGCACACTAGTGCCCGGAAGAAGTTGAAAAGATACATATTTCGGGCAGTATCTGAGGGGAATATAGAAGAATTGCAACATCTGCTGGCAGAGCTGAAGGAGCGATGCAACGCGTGTACAAACATGACCGTGCCAGGTAAGCTGTGGAGTTACCTGAAGGCAGGCTGTTAGCTCTTCTGGCACTACAGGTCTGGTCTAAGATTGGGAAAATGTCTCTGTGCAGCAGCTACTTCCCTGTGAATTTGCAGATGCTTGTTTGCAATGTACTGTATGTCACATTTCCTATTTCTAAATGAAAGCTCAAGGTACCTCCTTGCTGCCTCCAAGACAACCCTGGAGAGTATTTGTCTCCTGCTTATGATGCACGGAGGGTCCATCTGCGTGGCCTTCCCACAGCCGTACCTCAGCTCACCTTCTGCAGCACGAGACTCAGAGCCACTGTCTCTGTCCCAAGTGCGGTACAGACAGGGCCTGTGATGTCCGCAGCGTGGCAGAACAGGGAGAGAAGTTAGGAAAAGGTTCTGGGTCTGTCTGGCATTACCATGGCAGTAGGATGTCTGAAAGAAAAGCCAACCTTAGGAGTTGGTATCACACCTCTGAATGCGTCGTCTCACCAAGTCTGTGTAGCTCAAATATAAAGAGAATAGGGTGGAGCAACTGTCTGGCAGGCAATTTACATTCATATGTATCCCTCAGGTTCCACCTGTAATAAACAAAATATTAGATTTTTTTTCCATCCACTTCAGTGAATAATTATGATCTAATCTCAGAATTCACTCTTGTAGATTACCTGATGAAAAAATTCACAGCTGCAGATACTGGCAAAACTTGTCTGATGAAAGCTCTGCTGAACATCAATGAGAACACAAATGAGATAGTGAATATGCTACTATCCTTTGCAGAAGAAAATGGTATTTTGGAGAGATTTATCAATGCAGCATATACAGAAGAGGCATATAAAGGTATTGCCATCTGATACCAGTTTCAGGTATATGGTTAAATATGCCACCCATAAGTAATGTTTTCTTCCAACATTCTAATGATAGTTTAAATTTCTAAACTGAATTTTATTTGTTATCACTGGTACTATCCACTGTGAAACATCGTTAATGTTTCATAATGTGCTCACCAGGTGCAACACTAAATACCCATATCTGTTGTTTCAGGCCAGACAGCTCTAAATATTGCCATTGAAAGAAGACAGTATGAAATAACTCAGAACCTTATAGAAAAAGGAGCTGATGTCAATGCTCATGCCCAGGGTATCTTCTTTAATCCCAAACATAAGCACGAAGGCTTTTATTTTGGTAAGTGACAATGTGACCTGTCTGGAAAGGCTGGGAAGGAGTACCCGAACAATTCAGACAGTATGGAAGACAGGCAAGTGAGCGTCATTACTGAAGTCAAATTTGTATTAGGAAACTGCCATCACCATATATAAAACCAGCACAGTACTTCTGGTAACTTGGCAGAATGCAACATATTCTAAACACTCAGAAATAATTGTAAATGCTGAATGGCAAATGAAAGGTAACAAATTTGATTTGGAAGATTTTCTCCAAATAATGTTTTCATACAAATTAAGCTTTTATAAAACAAGAATTAAAATCAATACAATCAATATGTAAATACACTTTCATATATTAAGGTGCTTAACAGAGTCACTCTCTCTTTATAATATGATTTAAATGCTTGTAAAAACCAAGAACACGTTTTATTTTAAAATTTTGTAGGTGAAACTGCACTGGCGTTAGCTGCATGCACCAATCAACCCGACATAATTCAACTGTTAATGGACAATACCAGGACTAATATTACTTCTCAGGATTCCAGAGGAAACAATATCCTCCATGCATTAGTTACTGTGGCAGAGGACTTCAAAACCCAGAATGACTTTGTAATCAGAATGTACGACATGATTTTGTTGAAAAGCAAAGACAGAAATTTGGAAACAACGAAGAACAAGGAGGGTTTGACACCACTACAATTAGCTGCAAAAACTGGGAAATTAGAGGTGGGTATTATTTCAGGAGCATCTAAGAGAAATAAGTATGGAGGAAGAGTCAAGGCCAACTACATACTCAGCCATTAGTGTTCTGACATGTCGTTTTCCACACTGGTTATGCTCTAGTACGGATCGGTCGTATTTGGTGGGCTGATTTTGTTCAAAATACGAGCAAGTATTTCTATTGCAATGTTTTTTCTACCCTTCAAGGTTTCCCTTTAACAGTCCTACTCTGTACAAAATACACATGCTCTTCAAAGCAGCCTTGCCAACTCCTCTGTCGTACAGAAACTCAGAAATTTATTACAGTACTACACTTATGCAATATACAGTCTTTGAATAATTTCAGAAAACTCCCTAGAACTGCTCTGTTATGCTGCTGTAGAATTTGGGTCTCAAACTGTATTGTGGCATACACTTGACCATGGGATAATTTAGAAAGTAATCAGTTAAGGGAAGATGTAAATATGAATGCATGGAAAAGTGTGCTTTCATTCTTTAGAAAAATGTCTCTGATGGAAAATCCAGAGCCATGATCAATTCTTTATTTCCTAGAGGTCTGTCATCTCTGACATCACTTACTGAATAACAGAGTTACAAATCCACTGAATTGCACTAGTGTAGAAAATGTAATAGTTACAAGGTAGGGGCTTTGGCAATTATGCACGTGTGCTTTTTCCTTTCCCGTAAAGTACCCTTTTGCTTACAAATGATTCTGTTTAATATTTTAGATTCTGAAATACATCCTGAGCAGAGAGATAAGAGATAAGCCTAACAGGAGCCTGTCAAGAAAATTCACAGACTGGGCTTACGGTCCTGTTCAATCTTCTCTTTATGATCTGACAGAACTAGATACCACTGCCGACAATTCAGTGTTGGAAATTATTGTGTATAATACAAATATTGGTGTAAGTTACCTATTTCTATGATTTTTTTTTTTCCTAGCAGTACACTCATTTCAGATGTGTTTAGGCTATACATTTGACTGAATTACTTGTGAAAGAGTAAACTAATTTTTGGTTCTCAGTTTTGTATCGAGATCAAGTCTTATATTCTTTTTGTCTGTTTGTTTTCTACAGAACCGTCATGAAATGCTGACTCTGGAGCCTCTGAATTCACTCCTGCGAATGAAATGGAAGAAGTTTGCAAGACACATGTTTTTTATGTCATGCTGGTTTTATTTTCTATACAATGTAACATTAACGTTAGTTTCCTACCACAGGCCTAATGAAAATGAAGTGAGTATGGCAGCTTAACCTCAGCAAATTTTACTGATTTAAAATGCAGTAGTATTTCCTGAATTGTACGTAAAATGCTAAACCAAACCCAGGTGTGAGAATATCTGGTTGTAGTGAGACCAGGTTCTCCCACATCAGGTCTTTATATCTGGAAGGAAGAGCAGCAGCAATAAAGGAGGTTTGAATTTTGTGGAAGTGACCCAAAATATAAATACATCATACAAAACCAGTTGGATTTCTAAAACTGTCTGGAGAGGTTTTGTTTTTTCTTTTAATCGAAATGCCAGAAGTTTCTTTCTTATACATGTTAGACGGCTGATTCTGTAAATCCACCTTGAAGAAAACGGTCAGGGAAAGGGAAGAAATTGGGTACCCAGAGAGCTCCCAACGTACGTGAGGCTTCCTGTTACCTTTTACCCTTGGGGTGTGCAACTCAGTCTTTCACTCTGGATGTGTCTTGCAGGCTCCACCTTATCCGCTCGCTCTGACACGTGGTGTGGGGTGGCTGCAGTTATCGGGACAGTTGCTGGTTATGTTGGGAGCAATATTTTTAGCCATAAAAGAGGTAAGACTTTTTAATAACAAATACATAACAAAATAGGTAAAGAACTTCCCTAGCTTTATGAATGTGCTGATGATGGCCTTGCAATACATTTGGGTTATCTTTATATATGTAGTGTCTGAAGGTCTTCGGCACAACACGTAACTTACTCAGAATGACAGGGAGTATGTATGTGAATGTAACTTTATCGCTCTGTGAAACAGATATGAGGGTTTTTCCTTTGAAGTTCTGAAGAATCAGTTTTTTATATTTATATAAGATCAATGTTTTCAAATTACTGGTTTTAAGGATGCTGTTGCATTAGAACTTTTAATGGGGTTAAAAAAAAGTATAATTTTTACCATATAGTATAAGTAATTAAAATCAGTAACTAACTGTTAGATTGTGCCAGAGATGATAGAAATTTAAACTCCTGAAGTTATGACCACATAAAAAGATTCTTAATTCTAGAAGTTGTGTTTTACCAGTAGACTGATATCTTTTTTTCTTTTTTTAGAAGACCAACTTCAATTAAATTATTTTGAAAAATCAACTTTGAGGCCTGTTTTCTCTTACCACTGTCTCTGTATTTTATATCTCTGTCTACGTAGAGCGTAGCCATCTTTCTGCTTCGGCCCTCAGACCTGCAGTCAATTCTCTCTGACGCGTGGTTCCACTTTGCATTGTAAGTCTGTCGTGCGTGTATGTTACACTATATATAAAATGCTTGTCTATCTCAGGGCCACAGAGATACTCGCTTTTTCTCTAGATTATTGAGTTTTAAAGGGGGTGGTTGTAATATTACACGCAGCTTTTCTGTAATGCACACTAATGGTTGCAAAACCAGTAACAATACTGGGGGTTGATGCGTACAGACCAATTATTTTCTGAAGTACAGCACTGTCTTTAGCTTCTCCTGATGCTGTTACCTCTTTAGAGCTGTATAGAATGAAATGTGTTTTAGAAACCTTAACTCCTTCAGGAAAGAAAAATAGCACGACGCTGGTTTAGGTGGGAGTGTCCCATCAGCCGGCCTAGATGAAGCACAGATGGTTCCCTCTTGTTTCTAGCATATGATTGTAGGATCAATAAAAAGAGAGGTGGCGTAACTCTATGGTTCTTCCTCCTCCCACCACCATCCTGATACCAGTCTTGTGCTGCTGAGATTCTGGTCTACATTTTGTCTCAGCATGTCCCACCTTCCACTAGAGTCTTCCTTGTTCACGGAAAATCTGTGATGAATGGAGCAATTGATTAAGCTAAAACTTGAATAAAATGGCTTCAAAGATACTCTGAAGAATTCTTAATGTTAGCAAAATCTGGACTGACCAGCTATTTTGGGGAGAATAGTTCACTTTAAAGTAAGCTTTAATAAATATAATCCTAATAGGTTAATATGCTACCTGCAATCGTCTATTTTATTGTTAAATTGTAATAGTAACGTTCATAGAGGAGAACATAATGTGAAATTAGAATTGCAGTGTAAGAAGCGAAGAATTCTTGTTCTCGTATTTTTCCATTATGTTGTTGGTTGTGTGCTAGTAATTTCCCTTTTACATACATGTGTTTGTTTTTTAACAGTTTTATACAAGCTTTGCTTGTGATCTTCTCTGTCTTTTTGTACTTGTTTTCCTACAAAGAACACCTTGTGTGTCTTGTTTTGGCAATGGCCCTAGGATGGGCTAATATGCTCTATTTCACCAGAGGTTTCCAGTCCATGGGCATTTACAGTGTTATGATTCAAAAGGCAAGTTTGTTTTCTTTTGTTTTACCTGCCTTCTTACCTTGCTTACTTGTTACGATATAATCTCAGTCAAGCATGTTCAGCAATTTAGACGAATTTTAAAATTTATATGGAAATTTCTCATTTTAAGTTCATGCATATTATTTCAGCTGAATACGCTGTTTAACTTCAAGGGCAGACACTAGTCTGTACCTCAAAATGAACATTTCATTATGTGAAATATGTAAATAACTTGTGGGGTTTTCAGCTAATGTAGTTCTACTATTTAATTGCATCGTATGCTGTGATGCCTGGATTGTACAGAGTTAGTCACCCTTGGACAACACACTAAGCTTTCAGTCATGAGATAAAAAAATGAGACCTAAATCTTCTTCTCTGGGTTTCTCACCAAAACTACAACCAGTTTGCTTAACGAAAGCAATCTGATACTTTAGTTCTACCACACCTGTATCCCTGCAGAAATCATACGTATAAAACTAGTTCTCAATTTTCATTTCTGATAAATATTTAATTTAATTTTTAGGTCATCCTGCAAGATGTGATAAAATTTTTAGTTGTCTATATCGTGTTTTTGCTGGGATTTGGCGTAGGTAAATATTACTGGAGAAAAGCACTGATGCTCTGTGTGAGTAAAAATTTTGGCATTGTTATGAATAAGAACCCTGTTGTCATGATGAGAGCTCATGCTGGGGTTTCTGCTGGATATTAAAAATCCAAGTTTAGAGATTTAAACTGTCTAGAGACTATCTGAACAGATAAGTCAATTTGACTCTTGGTTGTCTGCAATTTCATTTGGACGTGGGCTCTTTCTCCTTCCTGGCAATCTGTCCTGTAGCTGCTGTATCTATTGCTGGGCAGCTCTAGCTCTTCGCTATGCAGCGCTTTTTGAATCCTTTGGGGTAAAATGCCATGTATATATAAAGCATTAGAGTGATTAAATTTTTCTCGTGCTTTCTTCTCAGCTCTTGCTGCGTTGATTGAAACGTGCCAAGAGGGCAGCGAATGCCATTCCAACAGCAGTCTGGGACCTGTCCTGATGGATCTCTTTAAGCTCACCCTAGGACTGGGTGATCTGGAGATCCAGCAAAATTCAAAGTATCCTGTGCTATTTCTTCTGCTCCTCATAACTTTTGTTGTGTTGACTTTTGTTCTCCTCTTGAACATGCTGATTGCATTAATGGGAGAAACGGTGGAAGACATTTCTAAAGAGAGCGAGCACATCTGGAAACTCCAGGTTGGTCTGTGAGTTAGTTTGCTCAGTGAAGCGTAGATGCGTTGGCTAAAATCTTTTGAGCTGTCCGTACGGTAACTTACCGTGCTGACAGAACGGGTGAGGTATTAACAATGATAATCCCCATTTGTGTATGTGTACAAATAATGGAAATAAGTCATGCTAGTATTAGGGTATTGTAATAATTAATACTAACATTATTTCAATTATTTTTATATGTATATATAAAATATCTATGCATGCGATGTTATTTAGTGCTGTTGGAATCAGTGTTGGTTCTGGATGGTGGATGGAGGATTGACATGTTTTAATGACCTGTGGAGCCTGCAAACTGTGTGCTAGGAAATGACAATCTTGAATATGATTAACCGTACTTGTGTTACTCTTTGCTAACAGAGAGCCAGAACCATTTTGGAATTTGAAAAATTCTTACCAAAATGTTTGAGGAAAAAATTCCAACTGGGAGAACGGTGTAAAGTTGCTGAAAATGACACCAGGGTGTGTTTAAGGTAAAGCAAAACTAGAATACTGTGCTATCAGTTCTGCTCTCTATGTTTCTTCAAGGTTATTTCTCCTCAAAAGCCTCCTTAAAATGTGCAAAAATCAATTTATTTTTTTTTCAGTTGTGATCAATTGTTTAAAAAAACCTATAGTTTTTCTCTTTTTTTAATGTAGACTTTTTTGGTAAGAAAAGAGATTTCTTCATATGTTTTCCATGTACAAGTATCAAATCTGCTTGCAGTAAATGTCACTTTCTCAATCTCCTTTGAACGTTAGCTTAAAAGTAATAATATTTAAACTGCTAATTGATTTAGCTAATTATCAAAGAATATTTATTAAAGCATATATTACTCTGCTGTTTTATGAAAAAGTACTTAAATACTTTAGGTGAGTTTCAAGACTCTACTCATAATATGTGAAAATATAAAGCAATCTTGGTACTTATCTTCATAGAGCACATAAGAGTGCAAAGGCCATTCAGCCTTTTCATACCTGCAAACCAGGGGCTGGTGGTAAAGTCTGACAAGCCCAAGAAGGAATAAAGCAATAAAAGGGGAAGTGCAGCCTTGTAGCTGGGAGGTGATGCATGTTAATAACCCATCTTATGTACAAAATAAACAGGATTAATGAAGTGAAATGGACTGAGTGGAAAACACATGTTTCATTTATTAATGAAGATCCAGGGCCAACAGGTACTGCAGAATTTTACACTGTATTTGTGAAAATTTTTTTTTTTCTTAGAAATGTTTTCATATAGTTTTAAAATATAAACTCTCGTAATCGAGATATTCAACCACACTTCACTGGCTGATATGGTAGGGGTGTTAAATTATTTTTAAAGATTTGAAGAAACAGTTGATTAAAACCTCTCATTGTTGGCACCTTGGAGCCAAAACATGGTGGGTTTATTTTTCGCTAAGCAGTTACACTTGGTTTAAGTTCTACATTCTGTTATGGCATTTGAATGATGTAAGGCCAGAGAGCTTTTTAATAGATAGAAAATATTATTTTGGACCAATTCTCCCTGACAATACTACAGTCTCGCTGTTTTAACCCTAGAATGTTCATGTTTATGTTTTGCGGTTAATACGTATCAGATGACAAATTGTCCCTTGTGAATGTTGACCAGGAAATTCAAGATAGCCACCTGCTGACAGTGTTGGAAATGTAACAGAGCAATGCCCTGACTTTGAGGTGTCAGGTGTCCTCCTGGCAGCAGACATCCAAGTTAGGGACAGGGGCAAGTGAGGACCTGAGACACTCGTTCTGAACGTTGTTCTTGAGTCAATTAGCATTTTTATTGCCTGGGAGAATCAGCTCGGTAATAAGGAAAAAGGGCAGACAGAAGAAATTCTGTGTACGATATGGTAGTAAACTGACAAGGTGCTGTTTAAATACAGGCCTGCTTTTAACAAAAAATAGATGTGCAAAACTTTGATCTTGCAAATACAGTTTCTACCATATCCCATGTTGTTTACAATGCATTTCTTTGCAGATCCAAGCAAAGTTCAAGATAATTCAAGAACTAATAGCAAAAACACCCTGAACACGTTTGAAGAAACGGATGATTTGCCCGAAACCTCTGTTTAGCTGTGCTAAGTTTGATATGTGCTTGTTCGGAAGGTTAAAAGCATCAACAGTGGATGCTGAAAGCTTTGCTGATATTTTGGACAGCTGGAACCAGCTGCAACACAAACTTTCAGTGACATGGTCTGATGACTTTAACCCATTTAATCAGGGCAGCTCAGCTAAACTGAAATGGACTGTTTCACTGGTTCAGTTTTGAGCCTCTTGAAAACCGCTGCTGTCCAAGTTTGTGTGATGTTACTCTAACTTGGCTCTAGACTGTTTACTGGATAAAAAAGGTCAAATGTGAGCTATTTCTTCCTTTTGTGGAAAATTAAGATCATCGTGATCCCAATCCACTGTCCTTTGACATGTCTAACTCCTGAGAAATATTTTGTACGCTGAAAGAAGTTAACTTCTTGTCATGGAAAAAGGCATTTCAATTCTGAAGACTGCTAAATGAAGTAGGTTATTGTGAAATAACAATGTTCTGGATACATTTGAAGCTTTCATATTGACTGTCAGTGTTATCGGAGGCTTGTTCCCGCAAGCTGGAGAAAGCCTCTCCAGCTCTCGTTAGCTTTGCCTGATCTGTTTTCCTGTGTGCAATCCCTAGGGAACTGCATGGGTGTTTACTGCTTTTTATTTATTATTATGTCTATGTGCCTTCCCGTAAAATAACAGGGCAGAAATATAATTCGTGATGGAGAATATTCCGAGTTTGTTCCAGCTGCAATGTCTTGGCTTTTCCACATTGTTGCGTCTTGCTGTATAAGTTAGCACATTGAAAGTTCTTCTGGTTTAAAAGTAAATTAATTTCTGTATTCAACCACTTTAAGTACATAAGATGTCAGTATTTCTTCCCAAAATGAACAAAATAAGTTAAATACAATATAATTGCGGCTCTTTTAATTATTGTTCGGAGGACGATGTAATGCATTTCTGTAGCACTTTTTACATCCCTACCTGTGATGACCTAGTACTATGAATTAGATTTTTAGTTTTCTATTTTATGTGTATATGTATTAAAAAAAAAAATCCATGTACTTTTAAATTTCAGTTAATACATCATGTACCTTCAGTGTCATGTTTTTTCATCATATATGTTCATTTGGTACCTGTTTTAAAGGTGCTGTTTAGGAAAGACTCAGGTGAATTCTGTCCTGCATTTGAATGATAATATGAATTGCACTGGATTCTTACAGCCAAGCCTGCTGTGGGCAAAACGATCCAAAAGACTTTCTTAACGCAGAAGAGAGCCTGAGGGAACTCTCCAGCGGAAAGGGTGGTGCCGAGCTCCTCGCAGGGATGGTGAACACGGTTCTCACTACCCAACTGCTCTCCTAGGGGTGCCGTTCCCTGCGTTTCCTACCACGTGCAGCCAGGATCAAATTGAAATCTTCAGTGAGGTTTTCACAGGGCACAGGAGTTTGAGCAGAAAGACATTTACGAGTGTCAGGACACCAGTGTAATATCTGAGCGTCGTTTGGCGTCTTAGCAGGGTATGTGAGTAGGAGAAGAAAAATTCCTGTGGGCTTGGAATCTTTCATATTTGCTGGTTAATTTTACACTGAAACTGCCAACAGAGAATGTTGCCTTAGGACTATGCAGTTCTGTTTGGATTCTTCTGAGTGCCAGTTTTTGTACAAAAATAAAAATACCTCTTCACGTATGCTCAGGAACCAGAATAAACCAGCGTGCGCTGTACTCGGTGCTGCTGGGGGTAGGTATCTCCACCCTGTACTGAGCTCACGCTGTAGGTGTAGCCATGAAACAGGGAAGGCACAAAAAAATGTAAGGAATGTGCTGTGCCAGTGTCCGGGTACAAAACTCAATGATTAAAAGGAGGAAGAAGCCAGGAGGCTGCTTCTAAAAGTTCTTTGCTGAGAAAGTGCAGAGAGATCACATGTATTGTCTCCTGTCTTAAGGTTCTTAAGAACATTATGAATAATGACTAGAGCACATAATACTGTACTTTTTATACAATGTCTTATTTAAATTAAAGAAATAAAACTTGTAATTCAATAAACGTCTTGTGTTTTTATTTTAATGCTGTAGGAGTTACACAAAGGAAGGAAAAAAAGGCTTTTGGCTTAGTAGTAAATAAGGAAGACATCACACTTCAAAGTATGTAATTTGGGGGTTATCGAAACAAGGAATCTTTCATTAAATAGCTAATTATTGTATCCTTATGCAAAGTTCTTTGTTTTCTCTATCCTCAATTATTACCAAATATGTTAAAAAGCTTCAGAAAATTACATCTCCATTTTCTTTTCTTTTTCAGCTCCTATGGCAGGCTTTCTCTCTCCAACTACAGAACAAGTCAGTCTCCAAATTCTGAGAAGTGTCCCCATATGGAATTCTTCTTAATTTCCATCCTGAAATACTCAGGTATGGTTTGTGCATTGCTCTTCTTCAAAACCTGAGTAATTAAATAAATGTGCCTTCTTCACTGAAAACTTTTGGGGGTACAACAGCTGATGAAAACTTTAACTGCAAAATGTTACAAGCAGCAGCTGGATACACCTAGAGAGTTAGAAAGCTATAACCTTGTTTCAGTTGCAACAGAAACTTTCTTCAGAAGTTTCCATGGTATAAGCAGTGTTTTTCCTGAATTTGAATACTGCTCCAGTATGTTTTCGACTACGAGATACTTTCTAAATTCAACCTTTTTATCTTTAAGTTAAAGCTAAATTGGGAACAGCTGGGATTAAACTTGTAATACTTAAGAACTTTATTTTTTCTCAGAAGTCATAAAGTTTTCTTTTTGTACTTAGAAAGATATAAAATAAAAACTGAACAAACCCTAAGGCTCCCACTTGAGCGCACAGTAGGGGTTAGTCATAAATGCAGATAATATAAAATAACTTTAAGATACATACCCTCACTCTGTTTCTCTCTCCCTAGCTTCTCCTTTGTCTCTCCTTTTGCATGCTCATCTGAGGAATCAGTTTCAAGGATCACCTCATTTTAACTGTTTAAGTTATTGGAGATGTGAGGTTATAAATCAGAAATGCTGTATTTTTTTTATATAATGTAGTTTTGTGGATGAGCAGCTTTCTATATGTCACTCGATATAACTTTTATGGCCACTAACCGCCATGTGGCACATTGTTTAATCATTTTATGTAGTGTGAACTAACTTTATAAAAATAGTATTTATTCTTCGCATCTGTAGTAATGTATTAGAACAAGTAAACAGTCATAATTAGCATTATGACAGTATGTTTCATCTTAAAAGTGCTTAGCAATGTTAATTAAATTAGAATTTAAAATTAGATTCTACATTTATGCATTTATTCCATTACTACTGAATGACACTGGATTTCACAGTGAAGAAATGTACTTTTCACATTGAAAAGCTTTTACAAAGTGTTCAGTCTAAGGCTGAGGATCTGATGTGTTTTGCGTTGAGTTTCATTTTTACTGTTTTTACAAAAGCTTGTTTCTTTTCATAATATGCAGCTTCGTTAATAAATGTTGGATAGACTGTACAGTCCCCTTTATATGCAATTACTTCTCCATCAAGAGTCAAAAATAGAGGATCGCCATTGTTCAGTGGCTGCCAGTCTTGATCCTTTGAGAAAGAAAATAAATAGAATATATTTATTCTCAAGGTTTTGTATATTTCATGTGTTTTCTGAGTTTATGCTCAATAATTATATTCTCTCTGGCTTATGGCAAAAGCTTTTAAAAGGATTCATTTAGTCTCCAGTATGTAATTTCAGGCTTCTGGCCCCCATTTTCAGTCTTGTATAGAGCTCACTGGTAAAGGTGAACTAAAGGGAAACTGCATGTGCTCACAATTGATTAAAAATAGACCCTCGTTTAGAGTGCAAAAATAGATTTATATTTTTGAATATAAGCTATCCTACTGCCTTTTGCTTTCCAGCTTTAGGTTTAAAAGGGATGTTAGATACATTGATTCCCAAGTCGGTTACTGAAATACGGTTTGACCTTAGTGACAGACCTTACCATCGGCAAGGTCTAAAGTATTCAGTAAGCCTATGGGCAATATTGTAATTTTAGATATTCAGTATTATAAGATACTACAATGCAGCAGAAGCAAGACAGGAATAGATATAATATGTCACAAATGGAAACTCTTTTAGAATTTACCTGCAGTTTAGGGTGAATAATAGCAATAACTTCGTCATTCTTATTCCTGGGATAATCTATTTTCTCCATTATTTTAAAAACCTCAATTGTACACGGTGGAAACTCCTTTCCTAGAAAGAATAAATGTAATTTAATGTCAGAATGAACAACTGGTTCTTGGAAAGAACAATGCATTATTTATTCTCTTTAGAATAGTTTAAGTCATGAGGTTATACCTCATCAAAGCTAACACATTAGTGATTAGCTCATACCGCAGAAAAATGTCTAGCTCCAGAATTTTTGTATTTCAGATTATCAAACACCTACAAGATTAAGATCAAGTATACTTACTGAATCTTCAGAAAGAGGAAAAATTCCTAGAGCTACACGGGAATTCTGACTTCCGGATGCCACACTTAGGTGGTGTAGAGAATAATCCTTTGCCCCCGCCCCTTTTGCCTCTTTATCTGCAAAATGTTCTCCTGAAAGAGTCCACTGACATGACACAGGAGGCTCTATCCCCTCATTACTTACTTTACCTTCATTAAAAAGTTGCACAAAATCAAGGCCGTGTTTGACAATCTTCCTCATTTTGTCCAAAATATCAGCTCTAACAACACCTTGTGGCTGGGGACCCACCTCCACACCTGTGTGCAGATGAGGGAGATTATCAGTAGAGCTGAAATATACCATATGCTAGGTTACACAGAAAATAGATGTCTGATTGGGTCTGTATTTCATGTTGAAGAGGAACTGTAAAGTACAGAGTTTATGTGGTTTTTAAAGGCAAGCAGAAAATTTAGCTCACCAGTCAGGATCAGTTTAAAGAACCACGTGTACATTTCTGAGTGTGCTACCAGGGCAAGCGAAAAAAGACAAACTATGTAAATTTATTTGCCTTATTCTTTTCCTCAACTTATCTTTCCATGCTGCGTTTTACAGAACTCATTGTTTAATATGAAAAGCAAACTCATGTTTTTCCTATGGCTATGGTTTTGATTCCATAAATCAGGAAGTTCTGGACCTGTGTGCAGAGCATCCTTTCCCCCTTCCTTTATCCCCTCGTTTCCCTTTCTTGGCTAGCAACCAGCCTTTCAGCCAAGGCTTTTTTAGAGGATGTAAATGTTTCTTTTCTGAAGCTGTTGCTCCTTCCTTATCCTCATGTATTATAAATATTTTCTGCAAACAGTGGGTTAACTGAGTTTAAGAATTTCCATCTGGCTTCTGTATTTTGTAAACCAAATATAAATCAGAACTCTGAAGAAGATATAATAGTATACATTTGATTTGGTAAATATATTGTCATACAAATGACTGTTGGGGATCAGAGCACTCTAAGAAATTAATACATTGAGAAACAGGCATATTTTAAAATCATTTATGATGAGTTCATATAGTCTTAAATTTTTTATATTTACCAACAGGATGTTTTGCTACAGATCGAGTTGTTGCATATTTCAAGCTAGGATGTTCAATCAGCAAAACAGGACAGCGTTCTGGAGCCAAAGCGTTCTGTGGAGATTGTCAAAAAATTGCTTTGTTATGCAAATATTTCAGAATGTTGTGCCACAAAAGATTACTGATGCAGAAGTGATTTACACAACATTTTCAATGTGTTGTCCTTATTTCATGGCCCTCAGAGAAGTAGGACATCTTTAGAAAGCACACAAAGCTGTATTTGTTGCTCTCCTTTCCCTTAACTCATGCCAGGCACGCTCCACTGAACTTTGCTGTCTCCTAATATAACTGAAGACAGTTCTAGTCTTTAAGAGCTAACAAGGAGAAAAATCTATTTGTCAGAGTTTCAAAACCTAGAATCAAAATACCTTAAAGCAGACTTCAAGTACTTTTTGTGTTGGATTCTCTTATGGGGATATAGATTGCAAATTAACCCTTATTTTAACTTTTTTTTTTTAACATAGAAACCTCTTTCTGGCCTCTTTTCTGATGATTGCCTACCATTCCTCTCCACGCAATTTCAGTCATAAGCTTTCTATATTTTCAAATAATTTATAAACATTTAAATGGGATACATATAATCAGAAAAAACCTCCAAGTTTAAAACAGACCTTGTTTCTACGGAAAAAAACATTTTAAATCCCAGGCTACTGGCCTAACCTTGATTTCATCGTCATGGTCTAGGTCACTAGTACTTCAGCCAGATCACGCTTAAGCCGGCACTGCTGCTAACTCGCTCGCTCACCGCTACTTATCAGCTTTAGGAACGGAACAGCAGCATCAAATGACATTTAGAGACATCTCTCTACTCCTATAAATACTGAGGAAGGGAATGTTTGTCATTACCTAGTTCCATTAGTTTTTACGTGTCTTTATTTCATAAAATTAATGTTACATTATTTAGCATGTGTGACCCAAATCTATCCAAGTTCCTGACGTATCTGGGAGAAAGCAGATTAAATTACATTCATTTTCATAGATGTTATTCTAAGCATTCCTCTTTGCCCATCAGTCTTACTAACACTCATTTTAATACATGAATATTATGAGTTAAATCTGAATTACCTAATATTATAATCAAATTATTAATCATCTCTGATTTAAAAAAACCCACCCTATGAATAATTAACTATTTTTTGCAGGATAAAAAGTATATTTAAAGAAACTACAAAGTAATATATAGTAATACAACATTACAACTAATAATCTATTTTAATAGTTCATTTAAATTAATTTTACCTTGATATAATGAAACATTTGAATTGTAAAGTCATCCCTGGAGTTTTCAAGAATAAGGGTACCACCCATGTTAGAAGTGGTGTTGTGAAGGTCAAAAATAAGGTCATACGCATCATCACTACCTTTTGGACCAAATATATGATTGATTTCCTGAGCCCTTCTCACTTCATATGGAATATCTTCCACCACTGTCCTGCTGTTAATATCAGTACAAAGAAATTAGTAAACTCATTCCACGGCTTTACAGTCAACAAAATACGTATACCCTTTTCTTTTTACTTTAATTCCATAACTGACTGGAGTTGAAATCACCTATTTAATTACCAAACTGTTAAAACCTGACAAATCTGTGCCTGGAAAAAGCATGTATGGTTGTTAAACAGCTCTTATTATTCTGTATCTTATGTAGAAGGGTAGTAAGAATTTTTTTATCTGATTTTAGCTGGAGACTATTTATTTCACTTTTATTTCTTTACATCCCAGGATTTCCCCCATGCCAAAAACTAATTCAATATTTATCCACAATTTAAACCACTTCCAAGACTGGATCTACTTCCTGCCAAAGATGGTATGTAGATACCCTTTAACCTTGGACATCACTCACAAGGGCTTTTGTAACTTGTTTTATTTCTTGTCTTCTCCTATTCTGATCAGACTTTCACAGTCTATTGGTTTGAGCCCTCCTGACCCTCAAAGCTCATAGATTTTGCTACCTCGAATCTGTATTTCTAAAGTTTTAATACTTTTAATCCCAAATCTGTGTTTCTAAAGTTTTAATACTTATAATCCCAGGTGACCAGGTCTGTACTACCCTTTTAAAAAAATCTGGTCTTGGCCTAAGGAAAGGCCTGAGATCTGCTTCCTGTCTGTATAAGGGCTCTATAGGAAACTGATGTTCAACAACTTGGATACTACCCAAGTACAATATAGAGTTTTCTTTGTGGTACAGCTCAAGCTTTGTAATATTTTAAGAAATATTAGCAGTAAGTTGCATAAAGGAAGTTTTGCTAAATACTAACAAAACGCCTTACTAACTGCATGGGTATTTAAGGATTAGAAAAAGTTGCCAAGCTCTTCACATAAGGCTGTTAAATTTCTTGAGCCAATGGGACTCCCACCATTACTCTCAGTATTATCAGGATTTCACTCTCCTCCTTCTTGCTTCATAAAATCATTTGTAATCTTGAAAGGTCTACAAGTAAAGGGATCAAGTGAACGTGTTCCAAACAGGCAGTAGTGCTGTAATAGGCCTGAGCAATTTAATAGGATTTACTGAGGAATATAGTTAAAAAATTAAAACAACCTTCAGGGTATTAATCTGTTCTTTTTTAAGCGTTCTATGTTCAAAGCAGCTGAAAACAAACCAACCTGCTTTTTTAAAAATACGTTTGTCCTAAGTAGGTAATTAAAAAGAATGGCCTCAACACTTACGTGTTTAAAAGTCCGTTTATCTTATATATAATAATAAAGAACAAAATTCTAAGGTGAAAAGCCAGATGAAAAGATAGGGGTAAAAATAACCCTGCTTATAAAATCTATGTGATACATATTTCTCTCAGTGATGTTCACCTTTACCATTATGTCCTTTCCGAAGCGTAACTGCCTGTTTAGCATGCAACTACACCAAGCCTAAGAATGTTTGTACAGCAAAGTACGCCTCTGCAATAGGTGTCTCAAAAGCAGAGAAACATAACATCCTATTGAAAATGTAAAATAAAGTACTAGCTCACAGTAATTTTAGAAGAAATACAATCTATAATAATGAGTTAAATTATTAAGACTTTTTGACTATCATTTTGCCATAGAACACGTTATTTCTACCTTAGCTGATTTCAAGTTTTCATCTTTTTACTGTATATAACTAAAATTAATACACTTTCCTGATTTGTATGCTATTCTTTCCGATACTACCTTTAAACTGCTTTTATCTGCTACCTTCCTGCAAGTATAATTGCCTTCAGAAGAGCTCCAAAGCAGAATTGCGCAAGGCATAAAAAATGCTGACTTCGCAACTCAGAACATCAGTACTTAAGTTTATACAAATATAGCTAATCTAATATTAATATTAAATTCCTTTTTTAGGATTATATATTGGTTCGAGACTCATTTTACTAACTACAGTTTTGAGATTAATCTGTTAACACTCCCACAATTTTTCTTTTTGGGTTAAAGGTCAGTAATTTCAGTTATGTGGCTGCACAGTTAAAATAGTAGTGGAACTTGTGTTAGCGTTTTAATCTGGGAAGGGAGCTCCTTACATTTTTTAAAAACAGGGAAGTAAAACAACAGAAAGTACAACTACTCTTACCCAAGATTATCAGAGTCAAAAACACGGTTCAGATCACAGTCAATGTATCTGGTACACTTCTTCACAGCTCTTGGGTTGGTAAGAAATGGCTTCACTTCCATTCCTGTTCTTTGAATCTCAGCTCCATTCTCTTGCCAGTGCTTGACCAAAAACACCCCTGATAACTCATTCCCATGAGTTCCCCCGAAGATTGCAACCCGTCTTACCGGAGGTTTATCAACAACAGAAGAGGAAGTCATGCTTTCCAGCAGCTCTAAGAATTGCTGAAAGCAAGAGAAAATAATGGTGAAGTAAAACTTCTGTCTCTGAAAAAGAAATAAATCTTTCTAATAGGAAATTCTTTAAGCCTGTTTAGGTCAGATGTGAATGAAAGCGAATTAACATTTCTCTAAGAGTTTGAGACTCCCGTTGCAAGGCAGGGAGTTGCTAACCTGACACTCCTCCCTCCTGAGGAGCCCTCCCCTTCATTTACCATATTTAGTAATATCTCCAAGTCTGTAAATGGTACTGTTACACAGTTCAAAAGTTAACTGCTCCAGGCAAGCTCTATTAATATATGATACAGAGGTAAATCTTGTACTAATGACAGTATGAAAGACTTTTTAAAGGTAAACTTTAATAATGCACTTAATACCACTGACATTTTTGCATTGCAGACTAGATGTAACAAGTATACTCAAGTGTGTTTCACGTTACATAAACATTACTGTATACAGGGGCAGAATGATTTAAAGTGAACGAAACCAGCAAAATATGAATCATATCTTGGCTCTAGATCAACACATAATGCTGAAACATCACGGACTTTCATCTAAAAAAACCCAGAACAGCTGAGTTCCTCAAAGCATGTTGTTGCTTGCGTGACCTTTTTTGTTTTATAATATCTGAAGAACAGTGATTAAAAGGAACACTAGCTGAAATTAAAGTGCAATTTATCCACGACTGACTTACCCAGTATTCCTGGCTTTAGCTCTATCTTGGGACCTGCTAACAGAAACCTTTAACACACTAAAAGAACTTCTGCCAGCGATGACCCGTCTAACTTCTGCAATCCCTTACTAAATAGGAAACAGATATAGAATGCAATGGGACAACAGTAATGTTCTCCCCCAAAACAGCCTTAGTCAATGACTTGACTTCTTCCATTTTCAAAAGCATTTAAATAGGCTTCTGAAACTTGTGCCAAAAAGCAGCCGTAACTTCCATGACGAGGATTGAAGCATTTAGAATAGGTCTTAATAATAGAAAATAAGTTTTACTGTGTAAATGACAGAAGTATTTGCAATTAGTATCCGACATACAATATAAATACCAAAAAAATGTTACCTTGCAAGAGAATAAAGAATATTTATGTAACAATTCCTTTTTTTTAAGATTACATTCCAGTGACTGAGAGAGTATCTGGCTAGTGCCTGGGAGAGGGTTTATAACCCGGGCTGACAGACCGTAGGTCTAGGAGAAGAAAGCTAAACATAGGATGTATCTAGATAAGTTCTGCCAGGAATATGTTTCCTACAAAAGTTGCTCTCTCTGTTTCAGCTTATGCATACAGATTTGCGGAACCTTACAGCAAGTTAGTATGGAGAGAGTGCATACTTAAAACACTCAACTGTATTACTGCTGTACTTAGAAGCTGTCAGATGTTTAATCATAGTAAGTAATTTATTAAACAAAGCAGTAAAGTCGTATTTTCCAGCGCTGGACAGTCTGTACTGTCCTTTGACCCCAACCTCTTTAGCGCTGGTGCCAAAAGGACTCTTTACACGCTGCCTGAATAAATGACTCGCACTCAGATCTTGGTTTGCTTAAACATCACAACAACTTGAAGGGTAAATGGCAAAATGCAAATAATACTAATACACATAGTTTATCTTTTACTGCTGGTGGTTCTGTAGCAGTTATAATTCCTTGCAGAATGCTGAATGAAATACAGAGACTGTCTGTGCACTTACCTCATTGAACATGCAAGAAGTTTGTCCCCTAAGAAGAGCTTTCTTAGGGCAGATAGAGCATTTCCAAACATGAGTTTAGGAACTAAAGCCAGGGAGGCTTCTTTTATACCCTTAGAGCAGTTAACTTCCAAAGAGCTTTTAACTCCTGCTCTCCCAGGACACTACAAGCTACAACAAATTTGGGGCATAAATACGGACACTTGGAAAGCCTTTGCTCTTAACACTGGACCAGTCTCTTATTCTGGGCTTTGCCAATACTTACACTGTGAAAAATTACGTAGGATCGCTTTTAGTTCATTAAGAATTCAGAATGTTTTCAAGTACTACATGCAAATATCTTGGTAGAGCTTCTGAAAGCTTAGAATATGTGCGACGAGCTGAAAAACACACACAATAATAAAACGTAAATTAAATGAAGTCTAGCTATCAAAGCCACAAAGGTGTGTATATATACATATATATAAAAAAAGAAGTATAACATGGCTTGCCAAAGCCTTTCAAGGCTGAAGAAAAAGGATTACAAAAACCTGACAAGCTCCAATCCTGCCAAGGGCTGGTATTTTACACAGAAACCAGTCCAAAGTTACACGGTTGGAAACCGCCACGGGTAAAACCCAGGACAGCGGTCGAAGAGGAAAGTCCTGGTCGAAGAGGAAAAACGGCGTGAGGAGTATAGACAAGTTTTAATTAGGTCCCTGTTTGTGTTCGCACATTTGTGGGTGTTCAGTCCCTGCCCTGCGTTCTCTTAAGTGCTGAATGTGACACCACGTGGTCCGGTTCGCCAGGTAATTAATTAAATCCTCCAGGTTACGAACGGCTCGAACCAGCCCTCCCGGGCCGCGCTGGCCGGGCC